CATGGCAAAATACACGGTTAAAATACACATGTTCACCCTATTGAGACCAGTTGTTATGGTGGAAACTTTGGCCGCTTTGCGGGACGGGAAAATATCATCAGATCGGAATGAAATTTTGCACAGAACCTTGTACCATAGTATCGACAAGAATTCCGACCCGGCCCGACGAATCCGACAAACTTTTTTTTTTGCCATGAAAATGTGGACCACCCTAATGTACAGTGATAATTTTACACTTTGAGCCCTGCGAGTCCCAGGGACTCGCTGATCAGAAAAGTATGAGTCCCATTATGCATTTAGAGAGTCCCAAATTTCAAATTGTGAAATGGTCTACTTATTCAATTGCATATGATAATAGCACAAACAACAACAATATACATTGATAATAGGTTTATTTCTTATAAACAAATGCTGCAAAAAAATGTTATAATTCAGGCATACAAGATTTGCTGAGAAATAGGTTCTTATTTCATCCCATGGTCCAGTCTTTGAGTTCAGAAATTCTCCTCTCTTTACTCTGCTTCCAATGATGCAAGGCTTTCTCAAAGTCAACTTATCGCAAAAAACTATCCAACTTTAGCTGCGTCCTCTGTGATATCTCCGCAATAAACTTTCGCAACACTTGTTTTAACGTTGCACAACTGCCGATCTCGCCAACCTCGTCTCGCGAGAACGGAAATCTCATCACGCGAGATTACTTAACGCGAGATCAAAACAACAATGGCGGCAATTGTCAAACTGCAATCGTTGCTAGAAAAAAAGATGTATCATAGTTTTTTTTGTTCTGACTGAGAAATTCCTTGCGTCCCAGAAACGCACATTATTTGGAACTGTGCGTCCCGCGGGAAAATTATGCGTCTAGGACGCGGGACGCAGAGGTAAAGAGATGGCTGGGTACCACTGCTTTCGATAACTTTATTATTTAGATTTTTCTTCTATTAATACTATTGTCTTTATTACAGAGGGAGAATGTTTTGTTGATGAAGGAATGACAGTGGTTGTTGACTGAGTGGGGACAATGTATGCATGTGACTTTGTCCTTCCTTGTGAAAAGTCAATGAAATTGTGAGTGTGAAAAGTCAATAAAACATAAGAGAGAGTACACATATTACACAAAATCAAAGCAGCAAAGAAGGCATTATCTTGTCAAGTTAATGCAGCAAAATAGTGTTGTTTTTTTTTTTTGTTTTTTTTTTACTTTGACTTGTTCCTGCTTGTATGATGAGAATGATCTCCCTTGTCCTGTGTATGTTGGCTTAATATTTCATGAAATGTTGACTGTGGTATGGATGGTATGATAAACAATGACATCTCTGTTACAGAAGGGCCTACAAGAATGCAAATGACACGTAGGCACACACATATGCACGGTCACCCCACATTGAGGTGTTGTGTCAACCCAGCCACCCCACTGAAAAATTTCTGGCTATGCCCCTGAGCTACATAGTTGGTGGGTGACTTATCTCCTCTACAAACAACACTGATTATTTAATATCTCATTAAATGCAGCCAGTGGGTGAAAACCTTGCCAGGACGGTCCAAGTGAGGCCGATGCAGTGTGGTGTCAGGCCATTTTGGAACTTGCAGATGTTTTT